TCAAGCTAATGCCAACTCGAGTGTCACGTTGTTTATTTATGTGAGCTCTTGAAAAATTTGCTGTGTGTTAATCCAGATTTGTTATTTGATGACAAATTTAAATAATCAGGGGAACTGAGAGATTGAATGTGATAGGAAATGCACGGTGTTGGCTGCTCCCACAGTGTATTGCCATAATAAATTGCCACAGGAGGTAAACCATGTTTGTATAAGTAGGACATCCATTTATTATAAAAAGGCTGCTGGCTTATTATGTGACTATATTTCACTCTGATGGATATTTGTGGATGGAAACTGGTGTGAATGTGGGTTGCCAGATTAAAAGCTAAGTATCTTGTCCTCAGGTTTTCGCAATTTGTATTTCCCAAAATGTTAAAAATATTCCTTTAAGATGCCAACTAGGGATGTATATATGATAAGGACCAAAACAGTCCAACAGCAAAGAGAATTTGTGCCCTATTATCTTACTTGCTCACCCACTTTTATTTTAATTTCCTTTTTGGTTAATTTGCAGCATGAACAGTATCTTGTATTGATTTGGCTGACTGATTGCATTTCATCTGCCCAACACACACAAAAAAAAACAAAGAGTGTCAGAAGTGATGTGGCTGTGGCAGATGAGACTTAATCTGGAAGATTACTTTTGAGCCTCTCCTTCTACTGTGAACCAGCTGGCCTTGGACTCAAAAATAGTTGTTTATATTTTGGCAGAGAGCCAGATCTGGGACTTCATAGGCAAGCGCTGTTTTTAACTGGGAACAATTATGCTGTTTTCACAGTCTGGTGGTAAAGTTCAACATCCAGGTCCAGAGACTAAACAATAGTCAATTTGTGCAACTTTTTTTTTGAGAAATAAAACCAAGTGGATGATTAACAAACATGAGCTATTTGGGTATTTGCCCATTTTTGTGCTCAGATGGTTCAGAAAACATCTCTTGCTAACACTAAACATCTGCTGCAGTGGATCCAAATCATGTAACATTGAAACTCAGGTATTTTTCATTCCAAACCATTCCCTACAGGTGGTGATTGCACAGATTGCTTGTTTCTCTTTGGCTGAAGGTGTGTTGATCAGTGAAATCAGCTGCCACAGGGTTGTATCTGACTGAACACCTGGTTCATGTAATCTGCTGCACAGAATTGTACTGACACTACAGAACACAATGCTTCTTTTTACAAGGGTTATATAGAAATATAGATAAGATAAAGAGATTACAAATATTTAAAGCCATAAACCCTGAAGATGTATTGAGACAATGCAACACTATACAGAGAGGAAATGATATAGGCCATGTATAGGTACATAAAATTAGTTCTTACTGAAGTGCTGTGGCTTGCAGAAACACACCGTTAAAAGAATCAAATGGTTTACAGCCTAACTTTCTGTTGAATGCACTGCCAACTGTCCCATAGGTTGGAGATCTACAGGACAGAGATACAAAGTAGAAAAAGGTGACACTGTGACAAAGTAGGCTATGTAGAGTAGATACTAGATAAGATACTAGCCTTTAGTTTATGGTAAGATCCAGTAGGCCTATCAAACAGTGTGCACAGAAGAAAGAAACAGCAAACTTTTAAACATAAACTACTGCTGTAAATATATAGTTTATACAATATTCAACAGGTAAAACACAGCTAAGATTTGACAGCTCTGCTGGTAGATTTGCATTGCTAAGGGTAATTCTAACATGGTGACATACTCATTGCAGCAATGCTAACATGTTTACCAGTTATAATGTTTATTAGTGACATACTCATTGCAGCAATGCTAACCAGTTATAATGTTTATTGTGTTCACCTTTTTTATTGTAGTTTAGCACATTAGCATCCTCACATTTGCTAACAGACACTAAACACAAAGTGTTTAAAATAGCAAACAGTTCAAATTTTGATGTAGTGAGGGCGCTAGATGAAAAGCTAGGACATCACCAAAGTATTAGGATTTGAGGGGAATGTTTGTCTCTAATTTCATGACAATTTAACCAGCAGTTGATGAGACAGTTCACTCAGAGCCACCTACCTCATGGTTATAGGACAAAGAAAAGTCATTAGGATTCATCATCTGGTCACATGAATGTTTGTTGAAGATTTCAACAATCCGGCATATAGATGTACCAGAATGCTGGACCGAATCCTTATAACCATACAGTTGCACGTGTGCATTTTTGCCATGGCATGTAAGCATCAAACATTAGTATAGTGCTCAGGAATCAAATCATGAAACTGATACATTTTTTCTCACCATTATATATCTGATTACATGCAGTATATATCATCTCATTGTGTTTCAATGCAATTCATCTTCAGTAGCCTACTTAGTCATCCTGTTTATGCCATTTTACAGGATAATCCCCGAAGCAATCTCATTTTCATAATGCATCACAGGAAGTTGAATGGGCCCAAAATAAAGCCAGAAGTAGTATTTTGATTATTCCATTGTTGTAACTAATGCATGATAAGAAATTGAAAATGGTTGAGATAAACTAGAGCGGTAGAGGTCAACTGAGGCTGTGTCCTCTTCATTTAACAATCATCTATTCCTCTCTTCCCACTCTAACACTTAACTCACTGTGAGCTGACAGCTTGAAGAAGGTTTCTAAATCTCTTTTTTCTCTCTCGGGGCTGTTGGCTGCAGGCCAACCTCACACTTCTATTTCTCTTTACCTGTTGTTTTAATCTGTTCCAAAAGCACCAGGTTGGCTTTGTTATCTTATTTGTGCTGCACCTTTTCCTGTTATTTTAGTGTAGGTAGCTTAATTCAGCTCAAACACATTTTACTTCTGAGAGGAGCTTCTGTTTCTGCTATGACCGTCTCTGCTCAGCTCTCCCTCCATGAGCTGATTCACTAACCTGTGTTTGCAGGGTTTGACGTAAAGCCTGCTTTGCATTCTCCTGTCCAAACACAGGCTTTCGTACAACCTGCATCACTTGTTCAGCTCTAATATGTGCAGCTCTGTGTCTCTTTCTCACTCCTCTTCATTTTTTGCACTTGTCTGTGTGTGTGTGTGTATGTCCTTGACTACTTGCATTCAGCTCAGTACTATCTGACTGGAGGGAAACAAGGACATCAAAGTGGGGGAGTGAGGGCAGATAGCAAAAGACAAACTGTGACCAGTGGACTGGCCACTGTGTGATCCAAATGGGCAGGCTGTGTAGAGCCTCATCCGAGTCTTTCAGAGCTGCCAGACAGGAATGTGTGAGAGAGGAGAGAAGTCTGTCAGGTACAGGGGTTTCTTTATGCGTGACTCACCCTCTCTCTGACTGCCTTGGATGACAGTTTGTGACAACCGTTTTGGTCATGCTGAACCACACAGTACACCTGACTCCAGAGAACATCCAATACAATAGAGTTCCTTATTTGCCATAAAAGTGTGCTGATTTACAGTATGTTTTAAAAGCAGCACCTGACCACACAAGTGTTTTTTTTTTTTTTTTTACTGGCTTTTTATACTTCTGCTCATGCTTAATTTAGGTGGAGCTCTGCTGGGAATGACAGAAAACCACCAAACTCTATGTATTAAAGCTGCAGTAACTACCTTCCCCCTCTAATTTTCGACCATTAAGGGTGACGTGAGAGTCAAAACAATTCAAACAGTATCCCCTCCTCTTCTCCCTCTGTTCCTGACCTGTCTCTGTAACTAGGTCATATGTGGTCACAACAGCCGGAGACAGTTGCGGCAGTCATAATTAGCTCTAGAATATAGAGCCCACGGAGACTGTGGTTTTCGGTGGCATTGCAGCAACACAATGTCAAATTTAAATATTTATATTATGCTAATATTTATATTAGCAATATTTAGCATATTGCTAAAATAAATTTTTGCAATATGCATGCGTATGTCTAACGTTGTTAGTAGCGGATGTATCTGTAGTAACAGAAGCAAATTATACACTGTAACACTGTGTTACAACCAACCCATCTTATGTAAACAATGGCAAGAAGCTGTTTCTTTGGAAATGATCCACATTTTGTTGACCTGTGATGTTATTTTTATTTGCTGCCTTGTTGACAGAAAATAAATTGTTCATTGTTTGGCACAGTGTCTCATGTCACATTCATATATAATTTGACATGTAAGTGGGTACCCACTTTTATCTGTCATATAGATCAATATTATAAAATGCAGTATGGTTGGGAATTATCCTTGTTTAATACAACATAAAATTGTATTGAATTAATTTTTTTGCAACAGTTTATCAGACTTTTCTAGCCAGTGTTACAGTTAATCTTCCCACCCATGGGGTAAGTTGTAACATTGCATCTCCTGTCATTTTCACTGGAATTGTACAAGAACAGTAAGAGCTAGAAATAAAGTTCAAGTGTTCATTTGTAGCAGAGATTTATATGTTGCTTGTGTAAAAACATGATTGTTCCAACTCAGATATTTTTAAAATTATTTCACAAAAACCAAAACGTGTTAGGTTGTAGGTGATGATATGAAAAGGGGTGCTTTGATAGGCGGTCCGATACGTCACTCAGCTACTCAGTCACTACTGTGCACAATCTGCTTGCAAAATGCCAAGATGGCAGCTGGCAGCTGCCGTATTCATGATATTTTGGCTGCATGTCTGCATAATTAAAGCAAGTCATCCATATGTATACACAGTCAATGTCCTAGACTTTGTTGGTTGCAGTGTTGTGACACTTTTGTTTACTTCCTTCACCTTAAGCTGTCTATTCAGGTTGGCATAAGCAGCGTGTCAATTTAAATGGAATGAAACCAACATCCAAATGGTACAAATCAGAACGATATTAGTCACGTTTTGCAGTGCACCCTATGGTGCAGATTGTTAGCTCCAACAGTGAGAGTGAGGGAGATGTCAATCACGTGACAAGCAAAGTAAGTCAAAATACTGTATATATATCATTTAACTTTTTTATCATTTCAAGCTTCAAGAACAGTTACTATATTATTGATCATTGTATGCAGAGGGTAACGGGGTTTTGTCTTTGCTGCATTGTTTTACTCCTCTTTATGTGTGTTTGTGTGTCCCAGCAGATGTTATGGAGGGGAAGAGCGCCATTCTGCTGGGCATGAGTCAGTGGAACTCAAATGACCTGGTGGAGCAGATTGAAACTCTGGGACACATTGAGGACCAGTCGCATGGTACATTCTGCACACACAAATGTATCATCCACTCACACAAACACATGGACACAATGAGGTGTACATGTTGCTTGATCATCCATAATGAAGTTCAGACTGGATAAATGGTGAGAGTTATCCAATGAAAGACGATGATGGAGGCTAGACTGCAAATGAATTGTATTATAGCTTCTATTTAAAGCTGCACTGAGTCATCATTGATCATAAGGGGTCAGAAAGAGCTCAAAACACTCCTGCATTCATCTTTTTCTGATGGCATAGTAGAGAGGCTTCGAGCGATGACATCAGCGAGATGTGTGACCAGCCATAAGTTAGAAAATGACCCAAAATGACTGAGAACTCGTCAAAGTGAAATGTTGTTTTTGTGTTTTAACTTGCGCAAATTAGAAAATAAATAGGTGAATAAGGTTTACTATCCCAAGAAAGAAAGCTGTAAGTTAGCTCAGAGCACAGCTGTTAGCTCTAATGAAGGCCGTAGCTGCCTTCACACTGAAACTACAGGAATAAACAGCAGTTTTAAGGAAAGACTGTGTGTTAAGGCTGTTCATTGAATATGGCTAAGGATCTGTGTTTGACTGTGTGTAGAGTTTCACTTTGGGAATTGGTGACTGGTGACAGAGGATCAGATTGATGGGTTTAGAAAGAAAATGTGTGAAGTTGTTATGCCTATAATTTTACAGAGGACAAGAAAAATAGGGATACAGAGTCTCTTCTTATGATCCAGTGTGATCAATAATATTGATTAAATCCTGTAGTGACAGTTTGTCAGGAGTCAATCTCTTCTTGTTTTCACTGCACTCACCTCTAATATGTTTTACATTAATAATAATAA